TGACTGTTGCATGCCAAATAAAAGTGCAACCTTTTTTCTTTTTTTTGGGGGGGGGGGAGTGGGTTCAGATATCCTTTCCTCACTCTTAATAAGACAGAGTATACTAACTGTTTGATCCTCTTAGTTGATCATCCTAACAATGCTGTAATGTGTTGAAGAATTGTTCTGGGTTGTTTATTTGTTCTCATGTATTGACTTATCCCACTTCTATTGACTTAGTTTGGGCAGAGACCCATTGGGTAAAACAAAAATTTAATTAGAGAAGATTGGAGTAGTTATATAACTAGGACGCTCAAAAACAGATATATTAGTTGTGACCACTTGGTGCTTTTCTTACCATCTGTCTTCATAGGTTGATTGAACCCAAGGCTGTTGTATTTGAGTGCAATCCAAATTGTGGTTGTGGACCTGGTTGTGTAAATCGGATCTCTCAAAGAGGACTGAAGTATCGTTTAGAGGTTTTCTGACTTAACCATTCAAGTGCTGTGCATTCTATTACTTGCTATTAATCCCTTTAATGTCTTAACAATTTGTATATCACAATAACAGGTTTTTCGTACTCCAAATAGGGGTTGGGGTGTCAGATGTTGGGATTATATACCTTCTGGTGCACCCATTTGTGAATATATAGGGCGTCTAACAAAGACAGATGATATCGACTCTGCTGCTGGAAACAGTTACATATTTGACATAGATTGTTTGCAGACAATGAAGGGGCTGGATGGACGAGAGGTATGTAAATTCTTTTTGACCCTATGCAATCACACTTGCCGGCTTGCCCTGACAAGTTTCAAATTAAAGCTGTATGGTTGCATTTTATTTTGCTTGTGCCCTTTGAAAATATTTTCTATAATTAGTGCACACTTGTTTTCCTGAGGCCCATAGCAGAAAGTACCCTTAGAAAGCTTGATACACAGATTTTGTAATCATTGTGAAATCATCTTTGCGATGCGGTAATCATGCTGTTCTGTCTGTCTCCCTCGTAAGGAGTTTTTTTCTTATCTCCCTTGTTTCCTGATATTATTGCTTCCGTCTCTTCTAACTCCTGGGTGAAGAGGGTGCTCAACCTCTCGCAAGATTGATGTGGCAGATAAAAGACCATGGCCAAATCTAGTGAGGTGTTTCAAGATGCTCATGAAGTTAGGATAAATTTTAGTACCCAAGGACTAAACTTGTCAGGACTAAGTATTTTGTTCCTTTCAGGGAAGCTTGAGACGTTAGTAAGCTTTGTAACTTGTACCATTTATATTTTGTGTACAGATGTAACATCCCAACAATACCTGGTGTAAAAAATCTTACACCCAAGATGACGAAATTGATCTTTTCAGTAGTTTTTTTTTTCATGGACACAAAATGCACTTGTTGCGCTCTTCCCCCCACACCAACCAAAAAACCACCCTTTCTCCCCTCCCACTTTCCTCTGTTGCAAGTTTTCCCCTTTTGTTGCTCTTAATTCCAGAGGCTTTCTCTGCAGAGACGATTGCGAGATGTATCATTACCTGTAAATCTGGAGAATGATGATGATAAGATGTCTGAAAGTGTCCCAGAGTTCTGCATTGATGCTGGCTCTGCAGGCAATGTTGCAAGGTTCATCAACCACAGTTGTCAGCCTAACCTCTTTGTCCAGTGTATTTTGAGCACCCACCATGATATCAAACTTGCAAGGGTGGTGCTCATTGCTGCAGATAATATACCCCCACTAAAGGTTCTTTCTTCGCTTGTTTTTTTCTCTCAGGGCTTTGACACCTTTATGTACTTTGACATTTAGCAAACACAATTAGTACGTGCAGTTGTAGCAGTTGCTTATCAGCAATAAATGATAGCTTTTGTATGTCTTATGTAAGCTCAAAACCTTACTTCAACCAGTAACTGAAAAAAGAACGTCTCTACTTCTTTCTACAAACCATTAAGCAACTGGATGTTCCTACGCTTTTCAGTCTTCTGGTTTTCATGAAGTTATGCTGAAAATTGATTATCTTGGCCAACTACTTGATATAATATCTTAAGCTGATCTGTATACTCCCGTGCTTCAAGTACTTTTTGCTTAAGCCTTGTGGACGAGTGCACAATCAGGACATCGCATTGAACATAAAACCTTAGGTTTTCAGGTTTTTCAAATGTCAATTGGATGGTTTTTCTGCAAAGTCAATGAGATTGACCCTAGAAGTTTCATTGAATTGCAGTGTGATAAGGACTTCCTTTCAGAGTAATAACTGATATATTTTATTTGGAATCTAGTTATTTTCCATTCTTGTTTCTTTTTGATAATGATCTTAGCTATTCTGTGTCTTTGATTGAAAGAATGCTTTCTCCATATTATTAATTTAAATCTTTGTTAGCAGTAGATCAAGTAGTATCTCATTGTCTTCTTGTGTCTTTCTAAAGGAGCTTACATACGACTACGGGTACGCCCTTGATAGTGTTGCAGGCCCTGATGGCATTATTAAGCAGATGCCTTGCTACTGCGGTGCAGCTGATTGTAGGAAACGCTTGTTCTAGTTGGATGGTCTTGGCTCCCCGCGTTTGTGTTTGCTTGTACCTTTTTGTTCTTGTTAAGCCCCATTCCCGAGGGGTGGTGGCAGGCAGGGTTGGGGGAGTTACTGAAATGCAGTTTCTCTTAAACTTTTGCTTGCCAATTATTGGGGTAATGTTTATATTTAAACTGTAATTCTTGCTCTTGACTCGCCCCTTTACGACTGAGAATCTGCAAAATGGGGATGAATTAGATCCCCTATATTGATGCCTTGCTCAAAGGAAAAAGTGATTTTAATGCTTTAATAGAAAAGTGTGTATTGGTAAGGGAGAAAAAGTGATTTTACGTCTCGTGCTGCACTTCACTTGGGACTATGATGATTGCTCTTCAAACTTTTCGGAAATGTTGCATGACTCTATTCATTCATTCCATCTTTAATTGTTCATATCCAATCGAGACTTCTGGAAAATTCTCTGCTGCATGCTGGCATGATAATTCCCATTTGCTCAGAAGTAGGTGGGTGCCCCAATTAAAGAGTCAGTCCATGAATTGTCATCTTTTAGGGAAGCATCCTGGGATTTTTAATTCTATTCCGGTCAATTATTCCGACCTTAGTTCCGTTAAACACCGTGGATATCCAATAATGTTTGCCCGGAAAAAAGAAAAAAGAATAAGGGGGTCACCCATTTCTGGGTTCTTTTACGTCCGCCTTTGTGGGGCAGCTGCAATATACAAGACTTGGAATGGTCTTTATCTTAAATTTCCTCCTACATCCATTGCCCTACCGATACCATTCCGATTAAAATTTCAGGATATTATGCTGCGAGGAAAAAGAATGGTTCAATAAAGGCCTCATCCAATGACATGTCCTGGCTCCTTATCCCATTTCGGCATTTACCCATGGGTATTAAGCCAATGGAAAGGCGGATGTAAACAATCCAGGTGCGATCCTTCAATTTGAAATATAATAATAATATATAGGGATGGCAACGGGGCGGGGTTGGGGCGGGGGACCCGCCCCATTGCCATTCCTCAACCATATATAGTCTAAGTGCTTAGGAAAGTTGCCAAATCGTCTTCTGTGTGGTGCTGATGTGTCGCTTTGTGATGGGTGGAAATGTTGTCGTCCTACTCCACGTGCTCAATGCTTGCTTTGCGGTGTTGGGTGTGTTTTGAATGAATGGAAATGTTTTGAGTGCTTAGGAAAATTTAGCCGCTTGCATGGAACCGAGCAATGGACCGATAGTGGTGATAAATATCAATCATATCAACCTAAAGTAGACTAAGTGCTTAGGAAAGTTGTCAAAGGTGTGTGGTTTGCTGATGTGTCGCTTTGTGATGGGTGGAAAAGTTGCAGTCGTGCACCTGCTCAACGTAGATGGGGTGTGTTTTGCTTGCCTGTATGGAACTGACAAACAGAGTCATAGTGGTGATAATAATACTCACCTTCCTCATGCTGTCCGATTTTTTTTTTGGTCAAAAAACAGCGGAGTAGTTGTTTGGTAGTCGGTTGTTGGCTGGCTTTGGTAGAGAGCTTCTTCTTTCTTCACCTTCCTATCGGAGCTCTGTTTCTGTACTGTACCTAGAGGTGGCAATTTGTCCCAAGTCCCAATGGATTACCCATGCCCATGGGGACTTTGGGCGGGATGGGTATTGGATTTTGATATTGGGTTTAAAATGGGACAAATCCCAATTGTACCCATTAATTGATGGGAATACTTGGGAAATACTTGGGTACCCATTGGGCTCAAATAACAAGGGCTCTGTTTGGTTTAGCTATTTTTGGGGGGTATTTTTGAAATATTTTATTATAACAGTGTATATGAAAAATTTTTACTATAAAATTTTTTTGAAATATTTGATATACTAATATGGATGGGATGTTTTTTGAGTTATTGTATATTACTGTAACATTATATTTGAAAAACTTATTTTTTGAAAAAATAGCCAATCCAAACGGAGTCTTAGATTCAAAAATTATCTTTAACAATTTTTATAGTCATACTAGAGAATATAATCTAGTAGTTTTCCTAGTCATTGTCCACAAGAATTTTCAACATTTCAGTCAATTTAGACCTGTCATCTTTGGACAATGATGAGAATAAATATTCAACACCTTAAGTACCTTGGCCATCTTGATATATGTTGGAATATGACTGTATATCTATTTTTTCTTTTATTTGTTAATCCAATTTTTGATGGGAATCTTGAGTATAAAGCACTTGCATGTTTATTTAATAAAACTAAAAAAAATTTAATAAATCAAAAATATTAAAATTATATAAAAAATAAAAATGAATTAAAGGAAAAAAAATATGTAGAAAATAGATTTGGGTATTGGGCGGGATCAATCTAAACCCATCCCAAAGTGATCCCGCCCAAGTTAGTCCCAAAACACATACGGGTAAGGTTGGACCCAAACTCATATGACTCGGTTCCATCACAAACCCAAGCAAATCCCGCCCATCCCGCCCATTTTGCCACCTCTAACTTTACCGTACAATACCTCTGATGAGAGATTGTGACTTTTCTTTACTTCTTCTTTCTCCTTCTTCCTTGCCATTTGACTTTCATGTGGTTGTGTATTTGTCGTACAATTTTTGCACAGGCTATTTTCTCCTTGTGGCTGCTCCTGAACCGGTGAAGCAGTCATTTGCTAATGCAGTCGTTGGGCTCCTAGCCCCGTTGATATTTACCATTTTAACACTTCGCTTCTCTTTTTTACAGTTGCCCTTTTATTGAATTTTTTTGTTCTGCTATTTTCTGGAGGTTGTATTGGTAATGCGGTGTTGGAGAAGGTGGGCGAAGTGACTTTGTGCTCAGCAGCCGTACATTTCGCCCACTGTTTCTTTCTGTTCTATCCCGAGGATTAGGTGCTTGTGATAATGAGCCCTGCTTTGTTTCGGTTCTTTTCTTAAAAAAAAAAAACCTCTTCTTGCTTCTTCTCTTCTTTCTTCCAAAGCCTCTTCAGCCTTCTGGTTCTTTTCCCCCCAATTATTTACGAGTTTTGTTGTCTAATTTTTTTCTTTTATGATGTTGTAATGTTGCAGGTACAGATTTTGAAAATTCCCTCCACCACCCTCATGGGATTTTCTAAGTTCTGTTTTCTCTTTTGAAGGTCGTCTCTATATGGTAAGTTTCTAAAAAATGGGTTATTTCCTCGCCCAAATAAGCTCAACCTTTTCTTCTTCCCAATTTGTCGTTGCATTTTTTTCCTTTAATTTAAATATAAAATTGGAATATTACTGTCCCTTTTGCTCATATCGGGTTCATTTTAGATGAGCAACGCTGAGTTTAGACATTTTGTCGAAATTCTATATACCAGAAGTTTTTCCTTTCTGCTTTTGGCTTTTCACTCATCTTTAAGTGAGTAGAGTTGCTTTTTTTCATCCCAAAACATAATTGTATGCAGGATTAGAGGCTTTAGAGGCAAGGCTAGCTGAGATGTGTATTTGAGGGGGCAACGACGATAGAAACTAAAGGAGTTTACTTTTTTGGGTCAAGGTGAAGACCCTCTTGATCTCAAGAAATGTTTTATTGATATTAATAATCGTCAAGCCAGAGAAGACTCTGCTATTAGGTATTTCGAATTATTTTTTAAAAATTTCTGACGAAGTTGTGGATTTGGACTATTTTGTGATTATTGTGGTTGATTTTATAAGTGGCATTTTTCATTAGGCAAGGTGAGTTGGTGGCTGAAAGATTTGGGATTGGTGTTACAGCTGAAGCTCAGAGCATTTTTTATGCTCTGTCCAAAACGTAAGTTTTTGTGTTTGTCATTTCTTTATTGTTGTTTCTTGATCTTCTATTACCGGTTTGACTTTCTCAATATGATTTTTCAGTATATTTTATGAAGATTTTTCTTTCCTCTTGTACTAGTTGAAAATATTGGTTCTTTGCAGTCTTGACTTGTTATTTCAATTTTGTGATAAATACGTTCTGGTAATGCTAGTGTTGTTATGACATCCAATTGTTGGCAAAAAACAGATTTTTGCATGAACTAAATGGCATGTTATTTCAAGAATTAATTGTGGTTATACAACTCCAAGGGTCTATCGTCATAAAGAAATCTTTACTAATCAAAATAATTGTTTCCAGTGAAAGATCATAGATGTTGACTAGATAGTATGGCTTCCATTTAAAGGTTCTATCAGGTTTGAGATTGTTAATTTCATAAAGTTCATTGGGCTATTCGAATAGCTTAGCCTTGAGGGTCAGATGCATAAAACAACTCCATTTTAGAAGTTGTGTTAGATGCAGAATTAGAGAGCAAAACTGCTGAAAAATCTTATTCCTGTGCAGAATCTCCTTTTTAATTCTTCGAATGTCATTGTGCACCATATGAATGTTGTACGCAAAACAAATCCATCCATGTTGTCTAAATTCATGAGAAGACTAATATATTTCTTCTTGCCAACACCACCAAGGGAGACGTCTTCAAGGAAACATGTCAATCTTCTAAATGGAGTCCTCTGCTTTCAACTTTGGTATTTAGTTTTCATTTCTTCATATAGGAATCTGGTTAGAATCATCTGATTAACCGAGCCTGAAATTGTTTAATGTCTATGGTCTTCATCAGAAATTTCTCAGGAGAACAGAAGAATAAGCCCCCTGAGCTTCTTAAAAATGCAGTTAACTGACTCATGGACATGAGTGCAAGCAGTTGGCTCTAGTACTTTAGTGAAACTCTACAGCATTTCTGGCATCCTGAATCCATTATATGCATAGCATGCTGACATTTTGGGCAAAGCTAATAGAGGTGCTACACTGTGGTGATTCCCCCACCCCCTCCCAAAAACAAAAAGAAAAAGAATGCTTCTCCAAATTTCTCTCTCTCTCCCTCTCTCGTGCGAGCGTGCACACATACACACACATATCCTGATTAGACCATCACATTTGAATATTTAATACATTCAGCTACCTTATGTCATCCAGAAAGAACTATCTGGATGACCATTTGTATGTTATCGTTTAAGAAGAGTTGTTTTAGTGATTTTTATGGTGTTATTTACTGTTAGTGGCTACTTTTCATTTAGTATTTGTTCGACCTTTAAATTTATCTTATGCATAACCCAATAAAGATGAAACAAAGGATTATGATTCATATTACTAATTTCATCATGTATACAGGCTTCCAGTGCACTGGGACAAGACTACTATAGTTGTGATGAATGAAGTGCGCGTTAGTAGCCCATATCTTCCTGAGTCCGTCCTTGGAGGAACTCCAACTGCTAATGAGCGAGTGCAGAAAGTGGTGAGACTGTCAACTGGGATGCTTCTAAAAGTTGAACTCTGTTAAGTGAAATGCATAGTGTCATCTCACCTCATTACTGACTTTTTGATCTTCTGTGTTTTTGCTAGCTTGAGTTTGAGAGGAGAGATTACAAACTCACTATGCTGGTCAATGACTATGTTACTCTGTCATGCATTGAGGGTGAATTGGTGCCGTCGTGTTCGGATTACTAAGGGAATGGCTTCTCACTCTCTGAGCATCAAGTTCTTTTTGGATTGTTACCAAGTTTTGATGGAGAAGTTTCCCTCATGAAGTTGTAAGATGTTAGAAGTTTAGGCATTTAAGGAATTTTGTTTTCAATAAACCCTGAGATTTGCTTTCTTTATCACCACATTACTTCCCAATGCGTTTACTGCTGCATGTTGTTAATTTGATAGAGGGCATGGGTTATATGCATCCAGACAGAATTACACCAAGATAAGCTCATGAGTTGATGCCTATTAGATTGTAAAATGCAGTTTCTCATTCTGTTCTGGGATGATCAATGTATAGCAGGAAAGCTAGAGACAAAAATGTGTTGACTTCCCAGTGTTGGAGCTCTAGTTTTTACATGTATCTGTGTTGCCTGCACAATGTTGCCAAGAGTTTTTATGCTGTATAGCATTTTGGGAGCTACTCTTTTAAGTTTTTTTTTTGTGAAATAACTTAGGTGAGGCATGCTCAAGGATTCCATAATGTGGAAGGGGATAAGAACTATAAAGCATATACGTCTCCAGAATATTTCGACGCACACCTTACTCCACTTGGCTGGCAACAGGTGGGAAATAGCTGACTTCCTGTGATGCACAGTTGAATCTCTTACCTCTATTTTGTTTTTCAATCTAGAACAAAGTCCTTAATGGTAACTATAGGGTATGACAATCTTTAGCTCCTGTATCAGGTTGATAATTTGCGCAAGCATGTACATACAAGTGGGCTTTTGAACAGGATTGAATTAGTTGTCACATCTCCATTGCTAAGGTACCAATTCTCTTAACTTTTCGTGTATTAACTACCATAAGCTATCATTTTTGGAAAGAATGACTCCTCAAACTCTTCTATTCTGGCATTTTTGCAGTCAATGTTGGGTTTGCTTATCCAATTGCTTAAACATACATATTTTCATTTCTTGAACTAGTAAACTGAATTTCTTGTATGAAGAAAGAAACTCCAGCAGAATTAGGCTGCAGCTAGCCTCAAAACCTGATAGTACCTCTAAATTATAGATCAATGACTATCTCTTTGGTCCTTTCTTTTTTTGAGCATTAAGTTGTGATCTGTCAATGCCATTCCCATATGGTTGAGCACACATTTTCAAGTACAATGGGATGACGTTTTATAGGGTAATTGCTGTCAATACCTTCTGTCCCCTGATTCAAAGAGACTAAAGTTAACTGTTATACATTCAACTGAATAGTTGCTCCACAAGCTCTAACCTGATATGAAAAGGCATGCTTTGGCACCTTGACTGTATGCTTTTGGTTATGATGATTTATTCTTACACTACAGGACTATGCAAACTGTTGTTGGGGTATTTGGTGGTGATGGCATACAGACAGGACGGATATCTTGCCACTCATGTTGGCAAATGCAGGAAATAGTCGGCATGCTGCAATTTCAAGCCTTAATTGTCCTCCTATTGTTGCATTAGAACTTTGTCAAGAGCATTTGGTAGGTCCTTTGAAGGTTATGTGTGCACTTTTGATTTTAAACGTGAACATTCTTGTGGCTGTGGATAGCATTCTGATTTTCTTGGTTTCAAGTCGGGTAGAAAGGAACCTTTGATTTAATTACTAAGCTCAAATGCTTTATCCAGTTCAAGGGAATTATTTGGAACTCTTGAATATTTCTTTTAGAACTAAAATATTATGACTACTTCCACTTAAATCCAGTGAATTTTCCATTTTCCTTTTTTTTCTTGTTTATGAAAGACTAGAGGATATTTGGTAGAGGTGAATATATTACTCAAGATTCAGATTTTATTTGCATAATTTCTACATTCATATTGAAGCCTGAATCTTTTTCATCTAATAATCTGGTTGCAGGGTATTCGTCCATGCGATAAGAGGAGAAGCATCTAATAATCTTTTTCATATTTAATATCTGAATTTGAATAATTGGGCATTTATGGTCAAGATTGAAAATTACACCGCGCATCCTAGTAATAATATAGAGCACTGAAACAATAATGAAAGCGGTGAGAGGGTCTTTGCTAAATTCTGTCATTACTCGTTTGAGAGTGCGCAATTCTGCAACGAGAACCATGACAGGTATTGACCGTGCAGAAATATCAAAAGCGACATCCTTGACGTTCTGGTCAGCCAAGGACAACACAACACACAACCATCCTCGACTGAACAATTAACTCCAGAGAAATACTGCACATGGCTTCCTGAACAACTTACTCATGGTGTTTAAAATAAAAAAAACTGATCATGGTCAACTCCACAGAATGGCATATACTCCAAACGTGTAGTAGAAAGCTGCAAGGTCTTTCAGAGATTACATCGCCTACCAACTCAACATTTTGTAAAGCAACTATTAAGCATCAAGAAAGTAGATGTCAAGTTTTCTTTCAGAGTGATAACCAGTTACCGGAGGATCCCATTCCATCAGCAGCAATATGCTGAAGAAGTTGCACTCAAGTTACATGATCATCAGAATCCATACCCGTCCTAGTCCTACTCCGGTACCTGCGACCTGGTTTCTGTGAGTTTTTACAAACCACAGTTTCAAACCCATCTTCCTCCATAGCACAGACTTCATTGTCCTGGGCATAGGCATCACCAGCTGCAATGCCAACAGCAATGGGTTTGTCCTTTGAAACTTCAACCTGGTTTTGCTTAACCCCATTCTCCTTCACCATCGACAAGTCATGCTCCTTCTTTTTTGGAGTAAAGGTCAACGGATGTTGAAAAGTGAGAGATGCCTCGTCGGGGTGCGTTTCTGCAGGGTTCACCTGATTCAGAAACTCCATGTAGGCCTTCCGATTGGATTCTTCATCTGTATCATAGGATGAAGCGAGATCATAGCGTGTATACCTTGTGGGGTTCCTTAAATAGTCCGGAATATAGTTAGAAACTCGAGGCACAGTAGACGCATCCTCCAGCAAAGCAGATTCTCCACTGGAGGAGGATTTCAGGGGGACACTAGATTCAACATCTGATGCTTTAGCTTCTACCACTAAAGATTGATTGCCAGGCAAATCAAGTGCTTCTTCTGAGGAGGAAATTTCTTCTGGCGAACAAGTACGAGAGCCGAATCATTGGTCCTAAATTAGGCTGCTGCTGCTCATGGAAGCGGACACGTTTCGGTGACTTCTTGTGGATGGGGTTTTCCCTCTTCCTCAGAATTGGTTTCGGAGTGACAAGATCCTCTACTTTTTGTTGACCCTGTCTATTCGTTAGAGACGACATGCACATCTCAGAAAGTTTGGAGGTATCAAAATCTCCAGCAGCTTCTGCATCTTCCCTGAGCCTGAGTTTAGCAGCCATGTGATTTGCACGGGGTCTCTGGGAGCATCCTTAAATGAGCTGGGAAGTTCATTGTGGGCATTTACTTCGATTCCATAGTCGACAACATCGCCCATGCATAGGATATCACCAGCTTTTTCCCTGCCTACAGCCACTTTGTCATATTCATCTTCCTCATCCTGTAAGAATAGATACACTAGGCAGGTTATAAACAGTAAAACTGGTTGGTGACCCCTGGGAATAAAATTGTTCCTTTGTTGCAAATGCAAATAATAGCGAGATAGTAGTATTAACAAAAGATAGACAACCATGGAGAAAGACAAGTAGTAAATGACGAGAAGCAACAGCCCCAATCAGAGTCAACAAGCCTACCATCTCCTTCTTCTTGTGGCAATGTTGTAGGGAGTCAGTGTTCAGTTTTGTTTCTCTCTTTGGTTGCTGTTGTTGTAGTTGTAGTAGTAGTTGTTGTTTTTTAATTATTTTTTTAAACGTTTCCAGCCAGGTGATAAGCAAGAATGAGAGCTGAGCGCAGGGTATCAATGAAGAACACTGCCAGAGTAGTGCTATTATTATTATTATTTTTTGGGGGTTTAATTCCGCATGATAATATACACACACACATACATAGCTACCTACATCCCAAAAAGAAAGAAAGGAAGAGGAGAATTGGGGGGTGGGATACCTCAAAGTCAAGAGTGCAGTCGAGGCCAATGGAGGATCGAATATCCCAATCTTGTCCGTCCTCGTGATCTTGGTGGCCTTTGCCCGCCGGATTGTCCTCCTCCTGCTCCTCGTTATTCCTGATGTGGTCCTGGTGGTCGTAGTTACCGCGGTCGGGATAGAGGTGCTGTCGGTGAGGTGGAGGAAGAGATAGGGCGGCAGTGGAAGGCGAGAAGGAGGAGGAGGAGGAGAGGAGAGGGTGGTGAAGGTTGGAAGGCGGGGAAGGGGAACGAGGAGGGCAGTCGGGGAGTCTCTCTTCCATTCCTTTCTCTCAATCTCTTGGTCGGAGAGGCTCCAAAGAGAAGTCAAAGACGACGACGACGGCGGCGTATGGTTACTATTGCGATTATTGGAAGGAGAAGAAGAGACGAGCGACCCAAAAACCCTGTCCACCGAACCGGAAACTGTCTTCCATCGTCTTCCTCACCCGAAGTCCAGGAGAACACCTCCCCTCCCTACTAGGACTAATATTGAATATATAAATAATACCTTAGCAGTAGAGCAGTAGCTAGCAAATTGATTATTGTGAAAAAGAGCAGATAGCTACACGGCAGTCAGTAGTGTATATACATCTGATGATGGCGGTGGTTCCAGTTGATATGAGACCCGATCTGACGACTGATGATGATGGAAATGTATGATCCAGCATCGTCCGTTGCACTGTTCATGTATCAATAGGCCAAACGGCCCAGTCTCCCCTGCAGTCCCCCATCCATCAGTTCACTTGCTCATTATTTAAACAGCCCAAACGGCCCAATCCCACTAACATTTGCCTCAAAAACCCAGCCCACGCCCCCCTCACGCTCCAATTACTGTGCTCCTCGGGGGCCCATTTTGGAGGAGTCTGCTACTACTCCATCATTTCATTTCTGCTTCTTCTTAATCATCACTAGTGCTAAGTCCGTGGTGTATTTCTTTCTTCTTTCTTCTTCCTCTTGGGTGAAGGCGTGAAGCCTCTCCCTCTCCCTCTCCTCTAAGGCAGGCCGGTGCCCTACAATCTTGTATTGGCGGTAGACGACTGCTACTACTAGTTAAATTAATTAATTAGCTGATGAAGAAGAACATCATCATCAACAAGAACAACTTCTTCATCTTCTCGTTGTTTGAATGCGGCTGCTTCTCTATGGCTACGATCACCACCACCATCATCATCATCATCTGCCTGCTCCCGGCGACTCAGGCCAAGTACATGTTCTACAACACTACCATGGCCATCGACCCTCACAAAATCAACGTCCACTTAGTTCCCCACTCTCACGACGACGTCGGTTGGTTGAAGACCATTGATCAGTACTATGCCGGTGCTAACAATTCCATTCGGGTCCGCCTCTCCTCCTCTCCCCTCTCCCCTCTCCCCTCTCCCTACTCCCTTTTTTTTTTTTTTAATAAAAAAACTACTACTACTACTGCTACTATCATCTTAGCTTGTTGTTCTCTTCCCATTTCCCCAAAATTCTGCGCCCCCCACCCTCCTCACCCCTTCATTTTCTTTCTCTTCTATGACTCCTCTCTCTCTCCCCTATTACGGTTACTCTCATTCTTAACTGCTGGTGGACTTGGTATGCGGGAGGAGGATAGCTACCCCTTATTTTACCGCCGACTAATTAATCAACCCCACCCACTATGTGCAGGGAGCTTGTGTGCAAAACGTCTTGGATTCTGTATCTCAGCCCTTCTCGATGACCCCAATCGGAGGTTCATTTATGTCGAAATGGCATTGTCCTTCGCATATTTTACAACGCACTGAATTTCATTTTCAGCTAGGACGGACTACTCCTTTTCTTTTCTTATTTATATTTGTCGTTTTTAAGGTTTGTTCTAACCCAGGACAATGCTCTCAGGCATTTCTTCCAGCGCTGGTGGAGGCAGCAGAGTGACACTCTCAAGGCCGAAGTCAGGGACCTTGTCAATTCTGGTCGCCTTGAATTTATGTATTTACTAACTTATCTTTCACCGTGTCCTTTGAACTCTCCCTCGCATCAATTTTTCAGTCACACAATTCATTTGGCTCGTCAATCTTTCTTTCTGGTTGGTTAGAAATGGGGCATGTGCATGCATGATGAGGCAACTCCGCATTACATTGACATGATTGATCAGACAACTCTGGGACATCGTTTTATAAAACACGAATTCAATCAGAAACAAGAGTTGGTTGGCAGATTGATCCTTTTGGGCATTCTGCTGTTCAGGCTTATCTGCTCGGTGCTGAGGTGCAATAAGATACTATCTTGACTTTCCTATTCTACTAAATTCTTGTGCCTCCTGGTCTATATTTGTACAGTGAAAGATTGTCTTCAAACTGCACCACCTATCAACATTCTGATTCACGTCGCTACTGATCTTATTGCAGCTGGGATTTGACTCCCTATTTTTGCACGTATTGATTACCAAGATAGGGCTAAGCGCAAGACTGACAAGTCACTGGAGGTTGTTTGGCAGGGATCTCAGTCACTTGGCTCTTCGTCACAGGTCTTTGACTTGGAAACTCCTGGAACTCAACCTGCCTTCTTTGCTTTCCATGTTGTCTGACTCTTGGCATGTGCTAGCTACTACTGGATGCATGGCGTGGGATACTGAACTTCTAACCATGTTTCAGTCAGAAATATAATAAAAATCTTCAACTTAGATGTGTCAACAATCAGACTAATCTTCTAACCCTGTAAATCAGATATTCACTGGGATATTCCCCGTGCACTATAGTCCTCCTGATGGTTTCACGTTTGAAGTAAATGACGTGTCCGCTCCAATTCAGGTTTTTCATTTCTGCAATATTTTTCAAAATGTTGCATTTGATATTGCATGGTGGCCTTAGATCCATGGACCTGGATGCAGGATGATCTCACCCTTTTTGACTACAATGTTAAAGAGCGAGTCGATGATTTTGTCATAGCTGCTCTGGCACAGGTATAATTTGCTGATTGCACCATATGCTCTCAAGTTTTGTTTGTGGTTTTGTTGGATATTCAATGTGCTGCTCTAGGTAGCCTCCTCAATCTCAATACGTGCATTATACTTTTGGTGGCATAGCCCTTGATAGATTTTTCCTTGCCATTTGGTAGAAAAATTCTTTATGAAAAGGGGATTAGAGTGCCTTGCATGGAATAATGTGTAAAATTTGAAATTTGGAAGTTCTTGGAGAGCATTTTCAGAAATCCTCAGCTCGTGAAAAAGTTTTGAATTAGTATGTGCTCATTGTCATTTGTTTGTAGCTTCATCATTCTTTTGTCCTTTTCCAGGCAAATGTGACCAGAACAAACCATATAATGTGGACTATGGGGAAGACTTTCGGTATCAATATGCGCTTTCATGGTTCAGGCAGATGGATAAATTTATTCATTATGTGAACATGGTACACATTTTCTACTAGAGTTGACCAATGAAGCAGATACAAGCTTATTTATGCATATTTTCCCCCTTATAGCATCTAGTTTTACTTTTATTAACATATTGAAACCTCTTGAGAAATACTTAGGATGGGCGTGTAAATGCTCTGTATTCTACACCATCCATTTATACAGAAGCAAAACATACTGCCAATGAGAAATGGCCGCTCAAAACTGGTGACTTCTTCCCGTGAGTAATATATATTGAATGCACGGGATATAGTGAGCTTTCTCTTCAATCACTTTTCCAGATTTTTTAACAAATATGTGATCTAGGTATGCTGATCGGGAAAATGCATATTGGACTGGTTACTTTACCAGTAGGCCAGCCTTGAAAGGTTATGTCAGAATGATGAGTGGTTATCTTTTGGTAGGCTCTTTGTCCCCCATTACCTGATCTGAAAAGTGTGATGAAGTCATTTTTATGCTTGTGGCGTGTTGCACTTATTGAAATGTAATATTTTCCTCGGAACCATATTAGGCAGCCAGACAATTGGAATTTTTTAAAGGCCGGAGTAATTTGGGACCAAACACAGATGCACTGGCTGATGCTCTTGCAATTGCGCAACACCATGATGCCATCACTGGAACGGAAAGAGAGCACGTGGCTGCTGATTATGCGATGAGACTTTCAATTGGCTATACAGAGGTGCTCATCGATCAGATCAAATATTTATGCGCAATGGATAGTCATCTCACTCTCATTTTTTGGTCCTATCAGCTCTCTGGCCTCTTACTTGTTTTATTGCAGCTATAGAACTAAATCTCTTAGCTGTTCTGAATATTGACTTTTGCAGGCTGAGAAAGTGGTGGCAGCTTCTCTGGCGTTTTTAGCAGAGTCAAAATTAAGCACTAGACACAACAATCCAGTCACTAAATTTGAGCAGGCAATACCTATATACATATCACACTTATGTAGATCACTAGAATTCTTCAGCTTATTCGCTTGCTACTTGTGGAAAAGGAGTTATGTGATTCTAGTTTTCCATACATCCTGACTTTGGTAGACAGCATTAATTTTTTTTATGGATATTTCTAGATCATTTTCATATAATAAACAAGTAGGTATCTGCACCCCTCGACAGTGATAAACAACTATTATGCTATAAAATGTTTACCATCTAAAGATGCTTATCTGATGAATTATCACTATGAGTGCTCAAATTCGATTAGACGAGTTTCTGTAAACCTTTTACTACACAAGTCGTCGTAAAAAAATAGACAATGCGAGACATTATAATTGCTTAAGTGGTGTCATTTACGTGGAGTGTGATGAACCATGATAGTTACTCCAACAATCAATTCTTGTTCTGTTGGCTGTTGCATTTATAATGTTTCTGTCTGTTCATAACTGCCCTCTCTCTTTCTGTTTGTACATGATTAAAGATATGGCCTGATCCTTATTTATGTCTGTTTTTAGTGCCCTCTACTCAATATCAGTTACTGTCCTCCTACGGAAGCCAATTTATTAAACGGGAAAAGTTTGGTATGTATATACCATTCCTTTGTTCTTTCCTGTTCATTCTTTTGTCACCTTGATGTGTGGGTTCTGTCTGTTGTCCTTATTTTTTGTTTTTTTATTGTCACCTTTGTTAGGTTGTGGTTGCCTATAATCCTATAGGATGGAAAAGAGTTGAAATCATTCGAATTCCTGTAAGTGTTTCCCTCAACTTTTTTGTTGTTTTTTCAATGTTTGTTGAAAAGTCTCTGCTTTTTTGGTGGAGAATTTGCGATTAGCCAGTAGATGTGATCTAGCTTTCACCTTTGGAATGGATTCTTCTAATGACATGGGTTGTTAAGCGATACTCAGCACCAGTAACTAATGAACTGAAAAAATGTAAATGTCTTGTGTTCGTAGCTTTTTCTTTGGGAAATTTGCCAAATTGGTCCCTAACATTTTTCAAAAAAACTTTTTTAGTCCCTAATATTTAAAATCAGCCATAATTGTCCCTAACATTTAAATTATGATCCATTTTGGTCCTAATGATTGTATTTGCTCATTTCTTTGACTAGAAATAGCACGCCTCTTTCACGTGGACATATTTTCAAGGGTAAAACCAGAAAACATACTTCATTTTGAAACTTTGGTAATTTTGGCTCTCAAAACCAAAAAGAAAAGTAATAACTATAAAAACTCAAACTTTACATGTTCGTACTCTTCCCCTTGGTATGCATCTCCCGAATTCTCAAAAACAACCCAGGCAAATCGATTTTCATAGGGTAAATTTTCATAAAAGGAAACAGTTTTAGCCCTTTATGTGCCATAAGTAGAAAAAGAATTACAGAAAATGCAGAATCAAAGCTGAATGGAAGGCCCCAAAAATTCTCCTACCTAAATGACTTCCCTACTCCTTAGTAACAATAGCAGAAAACTGGAGAAGTCGAATAAAATTCGCCTCGGCACAAGTTTCAAAAAAATCCCAGTTGAAGGGATTTAGAAGAAGAAGAAGAAAACCGGAAAAGAGGAAGAGACAAACAAAAAACAGCCAAAACCCACTAAAACCCTTTAAACTATTCCTCCATTACCCTCACTTTCTGTTGTACCACTAATACTACTAGCTATTGTTGCTACAAATATATAAAGCTGGAAAGGAGAGAGAAAAAGAAAGAAAGAGAGATAGAGAGAAAGAGTGAAGTGAATTGAAGAGGAAATAGCAGAGTGGAACTCAAGGCTAACAAGGCAGGGTGAGGGTGAGAGAGAGTAATGGGGTCCCGTGTACTTTTGCTTTCAACTGGAAATGAAGTGTTTTTCCAGTTTTGCCCTTGAAAATATGCCCATGTGAGAGAGGCGTGCTATTTTTAGTTGGAGAAATGAGCAAATACAAGCATTAGGACCAAAATGGATCATAATTTAAATGTTAGGGACAATTCTGGTTGATTTTAAATGTTAGGGACTAAAAAAGTTTTTTTTGTAATGTTAGGGACCAATTTGGCAAATTTCCCTGTTCTTTTTGATTAAATTGTTTGGGGGAATGCTTGGCAAATATACCATGTTTTAAACTTGGGCTAATGTGTGATTTTTTGTGTTTTAACATGTTTTAAATTGTCAAATTATCATTGGGAAACTGAATGTTACTTGCATCAATTATTGACTTTTTCTCAAATGCCATTATGTTGCACACAATTTGATCTGAGTTTCATATTTTTTCAAGGGGATTATGTTAAAAGGATGGTACAGGTAGGTATGCTGATGTTGAGGTCTACCTGCATAAAGGACTGAGATTAGAAAATTTTTCCAAACTTCCCCTAAATCCTGTGAGGTTTGTAAATTGCGCACCAACCTTACCCAGAAAAGCATTGTAGGTACCAGGTACTGATTTCTATTAAGAAAAATGTGTGCACAAACTTGAGGAAGTGCTCGCACACCCATTTGGGTTGGTTCCTTCTGCTTCGCCTTCAGGGACAGAAAGAATGCCCACAGCTCCAACTTTGATGAGCTGAAAATCCAATTACCACCAGAAAAGTTTTATCATATTCATTGCAGTTAATTTCAACAATAAAAAAAAATAGAGGTAAGACACTTAGTCTAAAAGGAAGAAGTAGAAAGGAAATTATGCAGAATCCTAAGAAAATTATTCAGCCATTGATCCAGTAGTAAGGAAATGGTTTGTGCTGGTAAAACATATGTAAAGTAAGTAGTAAAAATGATGATATACTATATCACAATATAGTACAATCATGAAGCAGGAAACCTTGTTGAATCATGAAGTATATTGTAGTGCATTATCTAAGACTTGTAAGCTGCATGCAATAAACTATGCAAAGTTATTGAAAAAGATGTGAGAAAACATATCTTCTTGAAGTACAATCTATGTATGAGAAACAAACTAGGAATATTCAGTTTAAGTTTTGGGGTGAAGTCTTTACTTCAAAACCTATCGGGTAACCCCTAGTGGCAGTATATTTGAACTTGAGACCTGTCCCAAGGCCCTTTTGTGGTCCATAAGAGAGGATATCCTAAGAGCATAGACAGTGGCGAACACCCTAATGGAAAATGCCCTTTTCAAGTTTCTGGATATAAAAATGGTGAACATTTTGGAATTTGCAGGTTTCTTCCAGGGGTTAATCGTTCAGGATTCTGATGGAAGAGAGATTGAGTCTCAGCTAATTCCTATTTCCAGTGCCTCTTTGTCAACCAGAAACTATCATCTAAAGGGAAATTTGGGTGGATCTGCTACTGACTCGGATAAATATTGGCTCGCCTTCTCAGCATCTGTACCACCCCTTGGTTTCAGTACTTACATAGTCTCAAGCTCAAGAAAAACAGGTCAACTTATCACAACGTGTCTCACGTGTTGTGGTTCTATATAAGAATGTAGAACCTGAATTGGTTACTATGAAAACAGATTTGTTTTTGTTGATGTTCTTGGTTTTCTCTAATTTTTATTCCCTTTCTAAATTTTTGGGAGCAGGTTCTAGGTCTGTCATCTCCAAATGGTCTCTGTCAGAAAGAGATAGTAATAATACGATTGAAGTTGGTCAAGGAAATTTGAAACTGCTTTACACTGCAGATGAAGGAAAGCTTACCAGTTACATTAATAGCAGGAATCAGGTATGCATGTTTTTTTCCCAGATTTTTCATCTTATAATGTTTTCTTTTGGTTTCTCCCAAATTAATAGTAGCATCTACTGCCATCCACTCTCTTTTTTCCTTTATCCAATGTTAGTGTTTTGTCATTTAACTTGGAAACAGTAGTGTGATCATTGACAAAGACAATGGTTACAATCAACCTAACAAGGTTTCTTGAATCTGCTTAAAATAGGGACTTCTGAAAAGCTTATGGAATGAGGTTACAGGAAAAGATAATTCTGATATCGATTGTTGTTTGTTTCATTATAAAGGTCACAGCATTTGCTGGACAATCATATGGCTATTATTCTGGTTATAATGGTACTGACAGAGTTAATCAGGTATTTTCATCTTTTTAATGAATTCCCTATTCTTTGCATTTTTTTGTACGTCTTCTTTTTATTTAAGCATGCAACAACGTTCGTTAATTTACTGAATTGAATTCTTTATTTGGTTTTTAACTTACGGATTCTCCTTATTTTGGAAGGCATCTGGGGCATATATCTTCCGTCCAAATGGTACATTCCCTGTAAAATCTGATAGCCAGGTATTCTGTTCTTTATGGCTTTTCAGCTTTAGTATTTAGCTTGTAGTCATGTGCAATGCAGATTATGGGAAACAATTGATTTTGATCCGTCCTCCTCAATTAGGTTCCCTTGACAGTTGTGCGGGGTCCGTTATTGGATGAAATACATCAACAGCTGAGTTCATGGCTACATCAGGTGGCCTACATTTGGAAAATACGTAACAGCTTATACAATTGCTATCCTAGTTTCAATTGCAACGAGCTATCGTCGAACCTAGTTTTGTGTGCTTTCAGAAGCTGAAACTATTCTAAATAGAACTAGTTAGATTAACTTAGTCCTAACTTTTGAAGTCATGTTAATGTGTCTAATGTGAATATGAGTGCAATTAGTACCAATGTACATGATAGAATGGAGAAAAATGCTAGAAAGATCTGCGAATACCAAATGGATGATATGCAGAACAAGTTCTGGGTAGGCGCAAATTTCAATTGTTGGCACCATATACTGAGAAAGGTCATGTTTGATGTACTTAGCGGATAATGGCACAATAAGAGATGCTACCACAGTGAAAGCAGAATATGAAATCACTACATTTCTCTCTCTTAGGGTGCACGCCTAACTGAAGAGAGTTTTGTGATCCACCAATCAGATTTACAAATTCTACTTGCTAGCCTGAACTCAGATTTATTTATTTCTTAGTTTGTCTCTGTTTCTTCTAGCAGCTTCATCCCTTTTAATTAGTTTGATTTCTTTGTGTTCTTTGTAAAAAACTGTTATCTACATCATTGGCAAGTATATTAATTACACTAAAATCATTGTATTATTTCATGTCTTTTGATATTTATAGGAATTATAGAAATTGTACTTTTTTGTATCGCTTGAGTAAGTTATTTTAAAGGTTGTACAATATAATGAGTAAAGATACCAAATCAGATTGGGCATAAATCTTGTTAAGCACTTGGATCGCTTAGCTACCAAAAGTCAATAAAATCCATAACAACAGCAGTTTCCGTTGAGATGTAGTATCTGAGAGATCCGGTTGAAACTTATCGATTGGCTTGCTAATGCAAGGATTTTTAACGTTGACTGATGAAAGTTGAATTTAGACAGGTCACAAGGGTATACAAGGAGAAGGAACACGCTGAAGTTGAGTTTACTGTAAGTTCACCTTTATTATTCTCATAGGCTCTTATGGTCGCTTGATGTTCTAACTTTCACATGTCTATTATCAGATTGGTCCTATACCTGTGGATGATGGTGTTGGTAAGGAAGTAATAGCTAGAATTGCCACCTCCTTGAGGAGCAATAGAACTTTCTATACAGATTCTAATGGGAGAGATTTCATCAAAAGAGTACGTATATGCTTGATCACCAATTTACATAACTATATGAACCTAATTTTAGTTTCTGTTGATATTCACAAGAAGAGAGAAGCCAAGGGTCTTTGTCTGGTAGCGTGCCCTTGTGCATAAATATATATTTTTGGAGCTTGTTAGTTCTTTCCTCCACCTTTTGAACCCCCTATATAAAAGGATAAAGAAGAGTTGCTAACTTGACGTTTCAAGATTTGTTACTATTCTCCTTTTTAGTGCATTTAAGTTTGATGTCCTCCAGGTGCGAGACTACAGATCTGATTGGGATTTGCAAGTACACCAACCAATAGCTGGAAACTACTATCCTGTATGTCATTATTGTTGCTATCCTGACTGAATCTTTGATTTGTTATTGTTGCTCTATGATTAAAATATAACTTGCAAGATTTACCATCCTATGCATCATGAATGCGTGTTGTGCCTGTTGATTAATGTGCTTATACGTTTTTCCTCTTTCTTTATCATTAGATAAATTTGGGTATATATTTGGAGGATGAAGATATTGAACTTTCAGTTCTGGTGGACCGAGCAGTTGGTGCAACAAGTCTGGTGGATGGTCAAATAGAAGTTATGCTTCACAGGTCTGGTTTGCCAGAGTTATGGTTGTTAGTTAGTTAATTATACCTCTGAAAACGAACATTTATTCTATTTTAATTGCTTTTTAATCAATCATATATGGTTTGTGATGCACATTATTGCATCTTGCTCCATAGGAGGTTGCTTAATGATGATGCTAGAGGTGTTGGTGAGGCACTGAATGAAGAAGTTTGTGTTCACAACACTTGCAAAGGTTTGATGGTAGGGATATTCTCCATTTTAATCAACCATAACAATTATAAAGAAAGAAATGTGTTTATTATCTGCTAAGTACAGTTGGGCTTTACTGTTGTACATCATTGGCTGACAAATCTCAATAACTTGATAATCTCTATCAGCAACCAAATTCCCTTAAATTTTTTTTTCTCGTCTTCATTGTTAGTTGGGTCACCTGTTCCCCTTCATGCAGATTCAAGGGAAATTCTATCTCAGAATTGATCCCGGGGAGAGGGGGCAAAGTGGCGTCGTGCGTTTGGCCAGGAGATTTATTCTCCACTGCTCCTAGCATTTGCTGAACAGGTAGGTGCATTTAAAGTTGCTTTTATCAAATGATCACCAAATCTAGGTGATTTAACTTTTTCTTCTGCAGGATGGGAACAACTGGATGGGGACTCACGTAGCTGCATTTTCTGCTATTGATCCTGCCTATAGCTTACCCGAGAATATTGCAATTATTACGCTTCAGGCACGTTTGGCTAGAAGCCTTCTGAACTTTCTTTGGACTCGTGTGTACAAACTTATGCATGAATGTGGATGCAATACTAGTAAGAGCAAGTGAATGTGTGCATGCTTCAATTTGGAATACTTCTTTCTGCTTCAACTTGAAAAAATTTACCCACTTGATATGCTAATTAGAACCTTTCATACATCAGTCCAGCAAATTCAATTTTTTTGCTGTTCAATTGCAGGAACTGGAGAATGGCAAAGTACTACTACGGTTGGCTCACCTATATGAGGTATTTGACTTTTGACTTGCTTCCGTCGTCTTTAAGCTATTAGAAAAGCTGCATTTTGCTGTTGTTTTGTGATTGAATCTGGCTTAAGAAAACTGTAATAACTTGTATACACCCTTTAAGGACATGTTCCAGTGTGTTTGAACGAGAGAGAATTTATAATAGTAATAATTAGAGAGGGAGAGGGGAAGAGAGAGAGAGAGAGAGAGGTGGAAAAATAATGGCAATGATATCAAGTGCTTTTCTTTTCAGACTAGTGCTTGTCGTCCTGTTTTTATTACCACCTTTGCATTAGCTGTGGATGTTTTCAGTGTCAAATGTCAGACTCGTTAGCTGTACATTTGGTGCCCAATATCTAGTGATTATACTGTTGAGGCTAATTTGTTTTTCTTCTTCTCCATGTCGGGTGTATTTGATGCATGGAAAGACTGGTGAAGACAGAGACTACTCGGTCATGGAAAAAGTGGAACTGAAGAAGCTTTTCCCGGGAAAGAAGGCAATAGAAATGCTACTTTTTTTTAACATTTATCTATCTAGTTATGAGCATGGTTTTTTTTTTTTCCCGGGTGGGTGTCACAAAGCAATCAAATTGATGGTGTCGATATGTTTTGCAGATTAGCAAGGTGACAGAGATGAATTTGTCTGCTAATCAAGAAAGAAGTGAGATGGAGAAGAAGAGACTAGAGTGGCGAGTAGAAGGGGCTTCTGAAGAACGCAGGGGTTTAAGAGGAGGAGCCTTTGATCCTACAAGACTGGAGGTGGAACTGGCTCCATCGGAGATTCGCACATTTGAAGTTGAATTTGATTATATTAGAATGTTTGGCTCTTGAATCTCCGAGAGGGAGAGAAGGGGTGGTGGGTATGGGTCTTTTATTCCCAGCAGTGCGTCTTGGTAGATCTGTTTTCTATGTCGGACCAGACCATGTGTGTGTGCCAGTTTGTTTTTTCGTTGTGTTGGTTGGTGTAAAGGAAAGGAAGAAAAACAATAATGGCTGGACGCATATGCCTGTATCAGTGGAAAGAGATTTGATTAACTGTAGTATAGTAGACGATTGGAATTTGGATGGCATGGAGTGTGTGGCTAACACTAACAGAAGAGGAAGTTGAAGAAGAGGGGCTGCGATTTAATTTGTTTCTGCTAGCTTCTCCCTTTTTTTGTTAATACAAGCCGAATTGATCTCTCCTCTGACGAATCAAATCATCTTTGACAAAAGCCGTCACATCGACTCAGGCGGCTGACGGAGGAGACCCGGGGGTCGGTGAATCGTTGCTGATTGACTAGTCTCGTCGTTGTAACCACTGGGCCCAGTGGCCATCAGGGAGGGGCTTAAGTCCCTCCTTGGGCTCTAAGTGAATTCAAATCTCACCTGCAGCGAAAAAAATCTAAGAGTTGTGTCAGAGTATTCTCTTGATCTAGTTGGGTCTGTATACCTACTAGTTTTCTATCACAGCTTTCTTAGGCTCCCCCTCCCCTTTAGATTAGAGGATAGAATAGGTTATACAAATGTATTTTTGTTGACAAAAAAAAAAAAAAAAGACTAGTCTCGTCGTTGCATTTGCATTTACGTAGATAATAAAAAAGAGAGAGTCTGACTAGGATTGAGTTACTATTATTATTTACTAACTAATAATACATATTAGACTACTTTTAAAGAGATGTGATAATATGCTCCATCTAATCTGAACAAACACACGCGGCCATTCATACTTGTATCTTACCATCTTATTATATAACCAAAGCATGTGAGTATATAAATGGGAGCAGGATTTAGTGTTAACCAAAAAAAAAAAAAAAAAGAGTTATCTCTTCAAAAACACATTCGCAACATTTATCATTATTTATTCACATCTTATCTAGAAAATCTTTCACTTCAACTTAATTATCACTATATAACTATCATTACACTCCTCGATTAACGGATTAACTAATCCATTACATAATTATTATTACACTCTTCAATTAATTAATTCACTAATGAATATGGTATCACCTTCCAAAAAACTCTCAAATTAATTTTTTATTCCATATTTTTTATTATTTGCTTTTTTCCCAAATATTCAAACACATGATGGTATGTGCCTCACCTGCTACTATTGTTGGGCTTGGGAAGAACAGTTCGAAGTGGATTAATGGGCTCGGTCGTTGGGCCGCCACACAAGGTAAGCCCACCAGGTTTTTTTTTTTTTCTTTTTAAAAATTTTTCCTCCTCCAGTTTTACTTTTTAACCAAAAAAGAAAAAAGAAAAACTAACAAAACAAACCGGAGCTCTCTCTCTCTCTCTATCTCTGTCTGTTTGCCGTGTCGCAGGTACGGTGAGTTTAGCAGGAAACAGAAAGAGTGTGTTTGATGTCCATCTTGCCCTCCAACACACCTGCTTCTTCGTCGTCGTCGTCCTCATCATCGTCTACAGTCTCTCCGCAAACTCCTAATTCTGATCATGGCAGCTTCATCTCACCTCTTCCTTCTTCCCAACAACAACAGCAGCTGCAGCATTTGTCTCCTTCCGCCGTCCTCCGATCCGTCCGAATCTCTGACTCTGCTTCTTACCATGATACCGCAGGTGAAATTTATTTTTTTTTTTACCCCCCTGTTTTTCCGAACTTTTTTTTTCAAAAAAATTTGTCTACTGTTACTAATTTAGTTCCTCTGCTGCTCTTGCTCGTTATTTATTTATTTCCTGGTTTTTACTGCTAGGGTTATTATTATCCTTGCTTTTGTTTTCTCTATTTCTAATGGCTTTCGATAACTAATTAGACAAATCGACCACTTCTTTGGAAAATTGAGTTTGAGCTGTAATTTGCTGAGCCATCTCCGGGGGGTTTGTAGTTTATGGGTAGGCGAGAACTGTTGAGAAGGGTTGGATCAACAGTGACAGAGATGACAAGAAAAAGGGAACGGAGAGCCTCAAGTCGCGATTGGATTACACCTGTTTAGGCGGGGGCGGCGGCGGTAGAGAGTTCTTGCAATTGGGAGAGAACAAGTAGGACAAGAACTAGAACTCAATTCCATGTACTCAAAGTCGATGTCTTCAAAATCCAACTTAAAAACAACAGTGTTTATTTACGATTGAACGAAAACTTCTTATGATACGTGCACGAGGTTTTGCTACTACTGTTGGCTTTTCTTCTGCCAAACCCTAAACTATTTATCACGCAAATGTGCATCATCAATTTCTCATTCATTTTCAAACTTTGGTTTAGACCACTTACTCTATTCTAGGTTTCCTTCATCATAAGCCGCCACCAAAAAGAACAAGAATAATAAAAATAAAAATTGTAGCAGATTTTATTTGTCTAATTTAAATTGCTTCATCTTGTTCCTTCTTCTTCCCATCGAATTTACCTTGTCAACGTCTTTAATTGTTGGTTTTGAATTTGATTTGTGTTTCTACCCTCACTTAAATTTATCTAATCTCAGATGCCTTTTTTCATTTCTTGCTTTACTATGCACTCCCTGTTGCTGTTTACCTGTGATAGTCTTCCCCCCTTGAACAACCGATGCCTGAACCCTTCCTTATTTACTCCTTCTCCTTCTTCTCTTCTCCTTCTCCTACTCCTACTCCTACTCCTACTTACTCTCATAATTTCTTTCTTTTTATTCTGTGCATTTTCACAAGAATGCAGTTTTTTTAGTACTTTCAACTCCCTTAAATTTTTTTTTCTGCTTATTACTTTGTTTTGGCTTATTTTGGGACCAGTCATACAAGCTGCACATGACGATTCTGATGGACCTTCTGAAAAGGTATAATTTGCTGCTCTTCAGCTTTTCTATTCCAGTGATTGAATCTAGTCGCTTTTTTGCGTCCTACTTCAATTCCTTATCAGCATTGGCTGCTGTGCTAGTAACTGTTCAAGTTAAAATTGTTGCTTGTAAGCTCTAAATCTGATTCTCTACTCAAATGCTTTGTTCTCCTTTCCTAAGGTAAACTATTGGGAGAAACATGGTGCTGGAAAGAATATGGTAAATGTTGCTGATCAAGTAGGTGATGGACTTCGATCTATTCAAGATCAAGGAAAATTGTCTCAATCAGTTGCTTCCCCAAACAATGGTCAGAGCACTACTTCGAGAGGAGGTCCTAGAGGAAGTTCTACAACTTCAGCTGGAAGGAAGACCCTGATGGTTAGTGGTAACCACTTGCTCAATTTTCATTATGATCCCATTTCTCGCAAAATCCTAGGCCTCGGGCCCCACCTCCCAGAAGACAGCAGAGGAGAAAGCCTTACAATAAAGACTTGTTTATTCAGGCAAATTACAAGTTCGTTATTTTAGATTCAGGAAACTATGAACCTGAATCCATGGACCCGGATAAGATGCTATTGTGGGAAGACATAATCTGTCTCAAGTATTTTACTCCGTTTGAAGTACACTGTCCAATATGTTTGGACAAACCTCTATGTCCACAGATAACTTCTTGTGGTCATATCTTTTGTTTTCCTTGTGTTATGCAGTATTTAATGTTGGGTGAAGATGATCGTAAAGCTGAATACAGTAAGCAGTGTCCCTTGTGTTTCATGATGATATCTTCAAAGGATTTGTATACCATCTATATCGAAAATGTTAAGCTGTACTCTATTGGTGATGTCATAGAATTTTGGCTCTTAACCCGTCAAAAAGATTCTTTTCGGTTATCTCTGAAAAATAATGAAGGGATAGATACAATTGATGAAGTTCATGATTCCTTCTCAAAGTTTACATTTACTTCAGATGTGGACCTTTCAGTTAGAGAAGCAATGTCAGATCTAGATAGTTGGTTAGCCAGGGCAGATTCAGGCCTAGTAGATGATATGGAGAAACTTCCGTATGTCTGTGCTGCAATAAAGCAGTTGGAGCAGAGAAAGAAATATTGGAATGAGCGCCAGGTTTCTAATGGCTATATGACTAGCAGGCTCAATTCCTCTTTAACAACTTTTCCTGGATCTCCTCCTACTGCAAGAGTATCCAATATTGGTGTAGATGTGTACGAATCTCCATGGGGATCTCCGTCTAATTCTGTTGGTGACAAGTCATTATGGGTAGAAACTTCAACTCCAGATGTGTCGTCAAGTTCTCTTGAAACTTCTGATTTACGAGAATCATTAGATGACCGTGACAGATTTTCTTCATCTTCATCGAGGGATAATAAGAGTTTACAAGTAAGGTTTGATGGGTGCAATGGTGGAAAGGACAGCGATTCGTACAATTTTTACCAGGTGATGGTGATTCTTGCACTACTTTTCGTTATGTCATTGCAATCCCCTTTGCTTATGGGTTTTTTCCCTGGCCTATTTCAGGCGGTTGATGGCCAAAACCTTATCCTTCATCCTTTAAACATGAAGTGTCTGTTACATCATTATGGGAGCTATGATAGACTTCCGAACAGGTCTGTGATTATGGTGCTTGCTTGTCTGGTTTTCCATATAAGCCATCTTTTTTAATCGGATGTGTTTTATTCTAATGAGATACTTGAAGTAAAATACTCTTGATCATTTGTAATAGTGATTAGTGGTTTGAAAGTTTTTTAAGCTCTTTGAGATAATTTTTGAAAGTGTCAATCACAGAATCACTGGGAAGATCTTACAGTTGGAATCAGTAACACAGTCAGAGGCAATGAGAAGGCGTTATCGCTATCTAGGCCATTTTTCTTTGACAGCAACATTTCAGGTACTTTCATAATCGAAAGAACCATGATGGGAAAAAAGAAAAATGAACACAAAAGGTGGATAAACAAAGAAGAAATCGTGGAAGGGAAAAGAATGCAGTGGCCCTGTTTGAAATCTTATCTTTTAGTAAAATCCTGGATTTCTCACTACTATTTACTTCTGAATTAACAGTTTTGTGAGATTGATCTTAGTGAGGTACTGCCTGCTGATTCCCTTTCTCCGTTCTTGGACGAAATCAGGAACAGGGAAAAGCAAAGGAAGCGAGTCGCAAGGAAGGTATCTGACTTTTGAATTTGGACAATTTTGTCCTTTACTTCTTAAATTACTATTCCGCGATTTGCCTGTTGCTGCAATGAAAGGCTTTGTATGTGTAGTTTCATCATATAATACTTCTATTCTCTCTCACTCTCTCTCTCTCTCTTTCTCTCTCTTTCTCTCATATTTCGTGAATTGGCTTGTTTAACTGCCAAAAGTCAGAAACCTTATGTAACTTAGGGTAGAATCTTAATAGGCCTGTTACTCTTTGCTGCTTCTTCTGCTCCTCCTTTTTCTTTCAACTGTTCAGTTTGCGGCCTATGTGATTTAATTCTTGAGGCTATTTAACACAATTAGGTGAAGCTAAGATCACCTTCTTTCTTAATATCCACTACATACAGAATTGTGAATTTGTTTTTGCTTTAAATAGCTAGATGAAATGTTAAGTTACGTTCATTATACACACACACACACATATTAATTAAAGGATCTGTTGTATTCAACTTGATGATTACATTTCTAGGAACACCGTGACAAAGTCAAGGCTGAAGCTGTTGGGTCAAATTATGCCATGTCGCTTAATTTGGAGCATACCCCTCATGACGAACCGCCTAATTTCTCCATTGACGACTTTGAAGGTGATAAACTATCTATGTTAAATTGATTGAATATGGTGTAACATGACAGTTGAGCACCGTAATGATGCAGTTTACTTTTGACATTTGAATGCTAAACTAGTGGCACTGTAGTTAACAGTTGAGCACCGTAACGATGCAGTCTACTTTTGACATTTGAATGCTGAAGTATTGGCACCGTAGTTATTGGACTTTTAATGATTTTGTACTAGATGAGTTTTCAGTAGTTTGATGCTGTGCATGTTTTCTTTATCTGTTAATTAAAAAAAAAAAAAATCCCTTTGCCTCGAAATTTTCTTGTCTTCACATGGAAGTTTTTTGTGTACTGTCTTACCTTGTGCAGCTGACACTTTCTGTTCCCCACAACTATTGATATTGGCATTTCTCATTATTTTAATCTGCTTGTGCTTGCCAATTCCAAGTCTTGGGAACTTCCACTACGACGTCATCAAGTCCTCCAAATATTCGAGAAAGGCAGTCATTTTCAAATGTTGCTAGGCTGGGTTTTGCTGCTGCCCATGATTCTCCAGCTCTAAAAATTGAGGAGGCTCGTTCTCACACAGGAATGGAAGTGTCAACTGGTATGTCGTAACATACGATGCTGTAATTTTGAAAAAAGATAGGAGCACTACTGTCAGTCCTCTTTGGTGGGATGTGGTTGAGATTTCACTTTGGTGCATCTTTCATTTGGACCTGGGATTGCTGTCTATGACCAGCAAATAGACATTTTTTATATCTTTGGAGATCGACTGTTGTACTAATTATTGACCAATAAAATTTTCCAGGGACAAGGAACAACAGCGGACCCTCTTTCGCCAATATAACATCCAGAGGAAAACCTCCTGAAAGGACTGATGTTGCCGAGGTGAACAAGATGGGAAAGAAAGGGAAAAAGCCTAGTCGTGTTCTCCTTTCAACAGCTGGCAGTCGGCGCTATTGAAGCTTGATCGACAGACCGATCCGATAGAGAATGATATAAGCCACTAGCATCTGTGAATATTGGAACATCTGCTTTTACACTGGGAGTGGTCTGCGCTCTACATTTGTTCTTTTGGCCTTAGTTCAAACACCTCTTTGTTTCTGGTTGTCAATATGTAATATGTACGCGACGAGCGAGGGGCTCTTAGAATATATCGGGTATCTGAACCAGACAAGAACTATGCTATTGTAGGAGGACAAATAAATTGCAGAATCAAAGAAGGGAGAATGACCAATATGGTTCCTAACATTTCGAAAGAAGTATTTTTTGGTCCCCCCATTTCTAAAACAATATGCCAAATTGCCCCTCTCGCGTGGAGAGTTCCGACCATACTTTTGGCCTAAAAATGCTCGTCCAAATTCTATGCTCATACTCTCAGTACATACATTGTAGAAACAATATGGGAATGGGAATGCTTTCTTTGTTAAAATTTGAAAGGCTTCGCACCACCGTTTCTGGGCGGAGGGGCGAAGGAGTTGGAGGGTTCTGTTTTAATAAGAAAATTATTGTGCTCTTGAAAGTATGACAACACGATTTGGACGTGCATTGTTTTAAGTCGAAATTTTGGTCAGAAATAGATTATGGGAGTTGGGACCAAATTGGAATGTTTGTCATACGTTTGAAAAAAAAAATTTAAATGTGAGGGGCCATTTTAGTCATTTTCGCTTCTAAGAAATAGTACTTAGTAACTAAGAATCAATCAATTGTATGGATTAATTATCAATAATTTGCAAATGCTACTTGACCACAAAGATCTTAGTTACCACAATTAAGAAGAAAAAGAAAAATTTCGCGCATCAAATGACCACATAATCACTCGTTGAGGGTATGAAGAAAATGGATTTGTTCCTGAATTTTAAAACGATTTGCATTTGGAGGGAATTCACTATGGTTTCCAACTTCTAATTTGTGTTTCGTTTTCAGGTTTTCGTAATTTGTCATGCTTGCTAGGTCATATTTAAAATGAAAACAGGAAGAGACCCAAAGCAAGCACGAGTTTAGTTGGCAGTTTTTGTTGAGCTTAAGACTGCACGCGCTTGCGAGCCGCTAAGCGGCTCGAGTCAAAGTTCAACTCGAGTTCGGTCAAATTCGAATTCGAATCGAACTCAAACAGTTTGTTTAATTTAAAGAATGTATATAAAGTGAGAATGGAGATTGCCAAAACATGGTCGTCCTCCATGTGCAGTGCACATGCATATTGTGTAAGAATTTGTTTTTAGGTTGAATTCTTTTGTGCCTTGGAACTCAAAGGGAATAATGTGTTGGAACCCAAAAGAAATCAGTATGTCTATATGAAAAGCATAAAAAAGGAACGATGCTTTAGCTTTAAGGGGCCCGAGGCAAAAGCCTCGTTTTATTCACCTTCTTCCTCTCTTACCATTTGCATCTTCTCTTTCTTTTCTCACTTCTCAAAAAACACCATTTGCAACTCAACCTCCTCCATGCCTCTCCATTTTTTCCTCTCTAAAAACCCCAGACAATTGTTACATCTCTCTTCATATTAAACTTCAGTCTTCTAAATTGACGGGATAAAAACTCACCCCTTCCTTAATCAATCAATGGACAATCCGGAAAAAGGGGACGAGAAATTAACCCATCAATCATGCTGAACGCTTTCCTGAAGTCGCCCGAATTTGACTTCAGAGAATCCTTGGAACTAACTTCACTGCCATGGCATATTCCGGCAGTCTAAGTTTGCTAGGGATCTTGAACGACACCAAAGCCATGAAGAGAAAGGGAGGGGAAGTGAAGGGGTGAACGACACCAAAGCTTGCTCTCAGGTTGAATTTGGTGCGTCTTTCTTAAGGCAACCAGAACTTTGAATCTTAGGTGCTTAAATTCATGTTGTACTTTAAGTACTCAACCTCTGAATAACTGGCTTACTATCACAGTTTCTCTCATTTTTTTTGTTTCTATAGAATGGAAATGGTTATTTGGGTTGGCATGGATTAAATTTAAAATTAATAAATGTTCGAACTTCTGATATGGGCGAGGCTTGCTTGAGGGCCATTGTAATTGATTTTTAGATAATTTTTTGTTATCTAGAATGCTTAAACATTTATTACTTGCTTCTAGGAATCTAGCTATTGCTTGCTTTTACCCTTGTTTTTGTATCATCTGTTTTTTACCTTAATTTGCTGCTATTGGCTATTCGCACATTATAGGGCCTTTGCGACTTTTTCGTCTTTATGGAATCATCCAGTTTTATGAAATTAGTCGATAGAGTAACTGGAGGATGTTATTCATGTTTGCTTCCATTTTTTTCCCTGACTTCAAATATGCTAAATTGATTTTTCCATTACATGACATTGGATCTAGGATTGATTGCATAATTTCACCAATCTTATTAAATTTCTGAAATCTAAACATGACATGCAAGCCTACAAGATATTTGAGAACAGATGGACTAAAATTGCAAGAGGCAAGTATTGATGCAAGGTGATCAGATCTACTTTTTCAGTATTTCAATAATTCTGAGCAGTTTAGACTTAGTCATAAAAGGTATTCATTGGTATGGACTAATTTTCGTCTGTACAAATAGGATTGATAATGCTGTGAAGAGTCGATTCTTTACCATGTAAGAGGAAAGCAAAACATAAACCAGTAGCTAATAGCACAGCCTTCATAAATCCATTTGAATAACAAAAAGAGCTCTCTCTCCAAGTCGTATCAATACAGATGGGTATCCAGGAAATTGTAGGACCCCTTAAAAAGATGAGGTATTTCTGGTGCAATAAGCTTCACATTTTTAGATTAACATCACGATCAAATTTAGGTACCAATAGTTTGTTATTGTAATTCAGTGCTTGAACCATGAAGCAAATTTGTTAAGTTTCTTCCTGTTTCTCCTGAAGTGCCATTGGTGGCATATGCATGTGTAGTTGTGTTTTCACTTGTTGCTTTGCTATTGGAGTCCTATATTTGCTGTTCGGTTGACAATGCAAACATGAACTATTTGGAAGTTTTGCAGTCTACCGTTCATCAAATTTCTTGTTTAAATTTGAGGGATTCCGGCTGAAAAGATTTGCATTGTGTTATAAGGCTGTAAATATTAGCCAATATACAGTGTAATAGAAAATTACTTATGTTTGTTCTTGTGTTGCTACAAAGGGCGAGCGCTACCTATTAGTTTTGGATATAGATTTTAATCCATTATTGTAAATATTAAAATTCTTAAATTGTTTTTTTACTCCACGCCTGTTAAATTTTATTTAGCTATGTTATTTTCCCTGTTGCTATCTTTTTAGTTGCATCTATTTTACTCAATAACTTTACAGAAAATCAAATCCATTAGGAATGTTGTGCTTCATGGTGGTCAAGCTAAGGATCCTTTGCAACGGTTTCCTTTTGGAATTAGTTTACTTTGAGAATTAAGGAAACCGAGTGGAGCTGGTGGAATGTGTCAGCAGTGGTCTCAGCAAATTAATACAGTCTGAATTTGGGTGTTGATAAAAGCGAACTTTGATGGAGCTGCACTTATTAACTTGGAGGGACGTGGGATTGATGTGATTGTTAAGGCAAGCTTATAGTGGTTATGGCGAAAAGGTTTGAAGGTAAATCCTGCCTAGAGCTGGTGAAAATAGAGGCAACTACGGCAACAGTGGAGTTGTGTGCAGTACCAATGGCTCAATTGTATTAATGGAGAATGATCCATTGAACGTTACAGGGCAATTTAATACCAGATCCAATGGCTCAATTGTTTTATGTAGAATGATTGATTGAACGTTACAGGGCAAGTTAATTCAGATGGGAATGATTTGTCACTCTTGCTACATTTGATACACATGTATTTAGATTAGCTTCTTGGTTTTTTAACTTTCTGAGAGTTGAGCGAGGGTAAAAAACAATTGTAACGGAGCAAGCATGAGTTTTGCTCAATTTCCAAAGTTTGTAGTCAACTTGCAAGTAGGATAGACTGATCAGCTTGCCAGTGTAAAATTAGTTGTTATGTTAGCTACTATTTAAGTTAAGGATAAATGCTTTTCTTATGAAGATAGAAAAAATAAAGTTTAGAATTTTTTGCTTAAGACAAGTTTCATTCTTGTTAGTCGTTTACCTATACCACCATTTACCCATTTGTGGGCTTCGAGGTTGCATCCGTCTTTTGCTAAGATGCTTCATTATAGTACCGCTTCATTCTTTCCTAACGCCTGGAACATGTATGCAATTTATTTTCAACTACTGAATTATACTACTAAAAAGTATTCTCCTTAACAAATTAACAACTAATTAAGCACAAATTTTATCATTATTAACTTTTACTGGGCATATTCAAAAATATTTTTCCACCGTGCGCAAGCACGGTCATATTTTGCTAGTTTATAAAGCGAGTCAAATTCGAGCCATCTCAGACGAGCCTTGTGAAATTACAAAAATATCCCTATTTTTATAACTAATTACTTAGAATTCATCAAAAGTTTCATTTCCAGCATTCCATTTCTAATTGCTTCCTCCCGTATCTCTCTTTCCGTCTTTCCTTCACAATTTCTCACACAAACCCTAGCCACCGCCACAGCCACCCCTCAATGAATGACCAACACTTCATAGCCCTAAGCCCCTAACCTTTCTCCCGTTTGTCAGCTTCCTTTACATTAGAAGTAGTAGCAGCTAAGCAGCATCGGCATCTCTGCAACACAATTTTCTTCATCGAGCTCTCACTCGCTTCTTCCTCTTGGACTATTGACCCAGAAGAATCCTTTTCTTCTTTGCCACATTGTAAGTCCGTTTCACTTCCCATTTATTTATTTTAGAGAAAAATGTTTGAGGCAAAATAATCCAAAACCAGATTTCTGCTGTTTGTGTCTAATCTTATGCAAGGCTGATTTATTAGTGCCAGCTACAGCCTATAGTAAAAGAAGAGGAAGTTTTCTTTTTTCTTCTTTTTCCTTTTTTTTTTGCGTGTGTGTGTGTGTGAAGACCGGACTATAGTAAGTTGTTTTGAGTATTTAATCTTCCGGGTTATGATTATTGTTAACATGATGATTTTCATTTTATGCCGCCTCGATAAACTCATAAACATGACACTTTCATTAAATAATTCTCTAACATTCTTACCACAGCAACAGAATCAGGGTAATTTAATGAGCATAAACACCTTCTAATCTAATAAGGGTAAATTAACGACTCTTTCCATAGTAGTGATATTCCGATGTGTTCCGGTCATCAGTTTGTGCATGTGAAAGACAGAGAGGTGTGGTTGTGCACTTGACATTCTGGCCTACTTGCTTCCAAAACTTGAATGGACGTGTGAACTAAAATG